GAGTATCTGATCGTCTGCAAACGAGCGAACGTTGAGTTTGAGTGATTGCAGTAAACATTTGAACCCTAACGAGGACACTCGTGTGAATAATGAGTGGAGGTGAGCGGTGCAGTGAGTCTTTGTTTTTGTCTTTCAGGGCCTGTTTTGGAGAACACGAGGTAAGAGCCAGCCTGGTCACAGCCTCCATCTTCACTGTTCTTCTGTTTCTTTAAACTGTACCAACGATGATGCTCTTCCTCTCTGGTCATCAACACTCGTTTCCAGCATAGCACGAAGGCTCCACGTATCTGTCTTTGTAGATTTATCACTTCCTCCCTGCACTCCTTTTTTTATCTGTCCTACTTTCCCACCGTCCTTCCCCTCCTTAATGTTTTCCTTTCCATCATGTTCCCTCGTTCCAAACGCCGTTCATTATTAGTTTGTCCTTCTGACCTCCTCTTCCTCATTCACTCCTTCCTCCTTCTATTCATCTGCTTTGTCCTTCTCTGTATCTCTCTCGCTCTTTTAATTCTCTTGCGTTTCATCTCATTTAGTCGTTTGGTATTCAACACACTCATATACAGGCGCTCGTTCACCTCCAGACGAGGTCATCAGAGCTAACGATGGAGGGTCTGTGCTGAACTCTGTTTGTGCTCGGCAGGTCAGCCCGGTGCCGTGTCATCGTCAGGGTCGTTTCTCCTGCAAGCGACCCTGCGGACGACCTCTGACCTGCGGCAACCACTCCTGCAGCAGAGAGTGTCATCTGGTTAACAGCAATCCAGTAAGGAGCTTGTTTAGATGTCTGTTAATGAAATCTGATGAATGATGGCACCAACAGAAACTGCTGTTCCTCTGTCAGCCACTTGAGACTGGCACCAAACGCTGGGCGGTCCCCAGAGACTGTATATAACAGATGGATGTAGCTGCTAGGGCACATAAGTCACGATAACACCACTGCAGATATTTTTAAAGTATATATTCACATTTCCTGGCAGGTACAACAATAGCAGCTCTGACAGTGAGTCAGCCTCCAGTGGCAATTTAGAAAAAACACAGCTACTTTGGATACGTAAGTGTAATCCTTTGCACACATCTAAGAAAACTCCTCCTGCTGAAGGTGGAAACAACAAACAC